GGGGGGGGTTGGGTTTGCTGTTTTGGGTCAGCCCATTTACTTTTCACCATTTTTTACATTTATTTTGCATATTGTAACTTTCTATATCAGAGTTTTTTAAAACATGAGGTAAAAGTTTAACAGCAAAATTAAGTTAACTGAAGTGTAACAAATAAGTGATTTACCAGTCTTACTATATGCATATTGCAGATTTTAAGATATAGATGGATAAAAATAGTTTTAAGTCCCAATTATCAGCTGCAGGAACATACAGCAGAAGTTGCATCCATACATTTTCTATTACGGAAAACCGTTTCGGTGTTGTGCCCCCGCCCTCTCCCTCTGCTTAGCCTTTCACAAAACACAGCCACGGCGTTATCATATGGCTGTGCTTTGTGAATGGCTAAGCAGAGGTAGGGGGCAGAGGCACAACAACAGAAATGTTTTCTGTAATAGAAACTGTTCCAATGCAGCTGTGAGCAGGAAACATGGCTGCCACTATATGCTCTGGCAAAAGCTTGGCTCTTATGTTACTACTTTATAAACTTTTTTTGTGAATGGGTGCTTACATTCATTATGGAGAGCACTTCCCCTTCCCTGACATTTATCAGTATGGCTATGACCATATACTTTAAAGGGTTCACTTTCTCACAAAATGTTTAGAAAGGAATTACTGACACCACTCCGCCACCTCTTCTGGGCCCCAGCTGTGCATACAGCTTTGCGCTCCTCCTGCCCACCCCTAATCTCAGCCCTGCAGTGAGGATGCACCATAATGTACAGACCATACACTGGCTGGAGGGGGGGGGGGGGCTTGGGGGCTGGCCTGAGCAGCCTAAAGGTATTCACACTGGGGCCCTGAGAGATGGCGGAGTGATGTTGGCAAGTTTAATTTTCTCAAATTTTTTATGATTTTCTTGCTCCTTATGGAAAGATCAGTAACCACCATTTGTGAGTCCAAAGATGAACTGATTTGATGGTTGTCATACCCTCCCACACTTCCACTTGACATATTTCCACTAAGGATGCACCTATAGCGTTTTTTAGGTATCTAGTTTGAGTACCGATATCTTTTTTCGGTACTCTCCAATTATCAGGAATCCTAACTGTTTTTTTGCTGTCGACTGTGCCTGTTTGAGATTAAAAAAACAAACATATGCCAGCAATGTACACCAAGTCTACATGAAGCAGGCATATGCAGCTGCTGTATATAAACACGCAAACTTTTATTGTTAGCTTTCCGTTAGCTTTTTTTTGTTAGCTGCCTCTGTGTTTTGCAAGCTCTTTCTGAGCTCTCCCATTTATTAGTATTGAGAGTGGCAGCCCCTTCAGATTAAAAAAACAAACATATGCCAGCAATGTACACCAAGTCTACATGAAGCAGGCATATGCAGCTGCTGTATATAAACACGCAAACTTTTATTGTTAGCTTTCCGTTAGCTTTTTTTTGTTAGCTGCCTCTGTGTTTTGCAAGCTCTTTCTGAGCTCTCCCATTTATTAGTATTGATAGTAGCAGCCCCTTCCC